GAAAAAAATGTAAAAAGAAGTATAGGGGCTACACTGCCTCCCTCTTCAAAGCGGCTGCCTTAAAAATCTCCTCACCGCCTATCCTATTACATGAATGTAACTAAAATAAGAAGTTGTTTTATAGCAGTCTCTATACTACATGGTATAATTGATTTCTATGTTGTCTTTGTTGTCGTTTTAACAATTTTTTTAAAAATAGGCACTTATCAACATCAAGAACACCTTAAAATATATTTAAATAAAAAAAAAAATTGCTTGGATAAATTAATTAGGCATATTATTATACCGAATATATTATATGTAGGTACTTCCATAACATATGCTTTATACTTCGAATTATTATTTTTATTTTCATACGGATTAATGGAAAATTCTCAAAAATTCTATTAAGAATCTTACAAGAAGAATACCTAGAAAGCTTTATCCATATCCACTATAAATTCTTTAATAGTTTTCTATAAGGCAAAGCGTATTACATATCGTACATTCTATAACAACCAAGTATTTATTTATTATATACTTATTTTTTTCTTGCATCTCTATATTTCATTTGAAGCCTCAGTTACGCTCAATAGCTCAAGTATTGTATTTTCAATATGAATAAACCGCTGCAAGCTACACAAATAAAACGAACATCACAATTTTTTAGAGTGCTAAATAGTATAGTATTAGTCTCTACTGCAATTGTTAAATATTGAGTGATAAGATTCCACTCTTGTGACACATGTTGATAACTAACGTAAGAAAAAGGCTTTAGAGGTCTTTTTTTTGGGTATTTTGACATTTTAAAAACGATCTTTTATGAAATTTGTAGATAATTTGTTTGTTTCTCTCAGCGGGTCGATATAACACAGACACGTTTATAGCATATTGGAGAGCCTGTGCACATAAGGGTAATGGGGCCCCTACACCCTTGGACTGAGCATTTTGTTATAATAGACAAAGAAAGTGTTGTATTCAGACATTATCGCTGGATTTTTTCGAAATAAATATGTTTTTTTTCTAGTAATATCGATTATCGAGTGGTGATCTGGCAGGAATTAGGGGGCCGCTATGAATCGAGGGGCCATGGGAACGTGTCTGGTGCTCAGTGGGATGGAGGTTCCTGATAACACACAGAGTAGAGCGCTAGAGTTAGAATAGCTGGATAGGTATTTTCAATAGTCGTCTTACTACTGAGCTAGGGCGAGTGTAATGTTTCTGTAAAATCACGTGAACGTGAACGATCTATCATAAAATGTCAACCTTACCTTGTGACTACTAACTGCTGTTACAAGGATGATGTCCAGGACGAGCTATTCAGTAGGTACATACTACACTGCGCGTGTCAATGACAAATAGCTTTTGACAATCGTTTGTGGCGTGAAAAAAATTGACAGTTTCAAGCTAAAGCCAGGAAACCAAGAAACATTTGTCCTGCGAGACGTAAATCTCGATACTTAGCGGGTTTCCAAACGGGCGACATTTGTGTCCCTCGACAGTTATACTACAATATTAATAAGGACGCGTTTTGCTTTGTGTTCCTAAAATACACAGCTACAGCTACGAGATTTATCTTAATAAGAACCGGCCGGCTAGTTTGGACAAGGCAAATGTCGATCGTAGTCCTAAGAATACGAAGACATACACCGTGACAGTGAAGCGATGTGTCTCCTCTTCAGTACAAATCCCTTCCCACCACCACCCGACATCAATTTAATGTGAATGCATACTTACATTGCTTATATACTTATATTTTTTTAGATAATTTTACGTATTAACTAAAACTAGTTACACGATGTTGCACATATATGTGTTAGTCAATATGACTACGGTTCAAATCTAATATCCATCTAGTAGGCGGAGACGTTAGAAACAACAGATGTAGTAAATGATAGCAGATGATCCCTTCTACATTCTTCTATTTAATGCTATTTCTGTGTATTATATTTATAAAAGGAAATATGTGTATAAATGTGTCGTTATTTCAAGCAGTTTCAAATACAGGATGCTTTAAAATAATCCTTACACATTAGTTATATATGAAAACTAACCAAATGCTTTTCTAACACAACTGTAACAGTAAGTATATTAAATACTAAATATTTTTGTAACCTACTGTATCGATATGTAAGGAAGGTTTCCATATACTATATTTTTAATACTAACTATATATATTTGAATTCGTACGGTACTTGACATGGACTTGATTTAACTCGTCGATGTGGGCAGTGCTTGGCTTGATCACGTTTCGCTCTGTGCGAGACCTTTGTAAGACATTAACAATTCCATAATTTAAAATGTTTAATAACATAAAATAACTTTACATGTTTCTATGTAAATTTTTTTGATGAGACTAATGATTTTTGATGATGGTGCATCAATATCTTAAGAGAGAAACTTCTAGAACGATGCTCATAAATGAATCAAAGAATGAGCCTCTATACGTTAGACATAATGTAATGCAGGCTTTATTCGTCAACTAATGCATCTGTTTATACCATTAGTAAAAGACAAGGAAAACTTGACACAAACCAATCAGTTATCAACTTGCCAAAACCTCCTTTCTAAGGAGAGGCCTATGTCTAGCATTGGACTGTCAACGGCTGTTGATGATACGATTAGTTACTGCATTAAAAATATCCTCCGCCGCTTATCTTTTTGTCTGAACGTAATAAACATTTCAAGTTTCGAATGTAATTTCTTATGTTTTTTACCAATTAATAAAGTACTTATGAGGAAGATTTAGGTGTGATAACATATTTCCGAGGGGATTTCCGCACGGAAAAAAAGAAGGTGTGATAACATATTAAGATTTCGTAGAAATCTGACAACGAATGTTGAAAAGATTGAAAATAATCATTCCCACTGTAAACTTTACTGGCGAGATCGACGTAAACTCATAGCCTATCAATATAATTATTTTTTTACAGACAACTATCCCTTTATAGAGATCTATTAAATATGAGCGGAATGAATAAGTTCTCTGCTACCCGTAAGAAGCCAGAACGGGTTTCTGATTACTAGGTATAAAGTTTTATAACACAAGGAGGATGGTAAGTATATTGTTTCATCTGTATTTTTCATTTACATTTTCGCGTATAATAGCGTTATACGCGAATTATAGCGTTACATAGCGTTGAACTGAAATACAATTCTGTAAACTTAATATCAAGGGTTATGGAATTATCGCTCAATTATCATCAATATCTTTTCAGCCGAAAGACGTCTACTGCTGGACATGAGCCTTCCCCAAAGTTCACCATATCAACTAGTCCGCAGTCCGCATTTAACAAATAAGTGACATTAATACAAAATTCAATATGTTGTGTTCTACAATATTTTTGTTTTGTTGAAACATTTTTAAATCTACCTCTATTATTTTCAACAAATGGTTTACATTTATAATTTAAGAGTGAAATGCATATTATTATCAATTCCGGGTATTTTATTAAAGAATAAACATATTTTGTCATATGTTACTGTCATAACAATAGCAATTTTAAAGTTCAAACTAATTTATGTTCAATGACGTCCTTCTTCTAAAAACATATAAGACCTTTCCTAGTTAACGAACAATGGAAATCATAAGCTTTGTTTAATAGTATCGTGGCTTGCTGAGTTAAGCTGGTTAATGTTATGTAAACCTACACGACGTTAAAGGCATACAAAAATATAAGGGAGCCAGCGTAGAAAGCCATTTAAAACTGTTAACATAATATTTATGGCAAGCCTACCTTCCTCTAAACCACAGAAATGAGACTATGTAAGAAGCGCATGTAAGCGATAAACGAGGGCTAGAGTTATGAGCAAATGTTTACATGAAGGGCACAGATAAGGACGTGAAGAACCTCCCGTCCAAAAAAATATATTAATTATTAATTCAATAAAAATATATTTATTAGTTTAGCGACATGCTTTTCGTACATAATACACTTCTACCTACATATTCTCAATTCTGTGTCCTAAACTGATATTAAAGTGGTCTTAAACAAAATAAATAATAAAAGTAACGTAACCTAAATAGTAAGTAATATGTTTTAATCTTACGGTACATAGGTACTTTAATCGTTCATAAACTTTTGTTATGAAGAACAAGTTAAAAGATGACACTTAATAATTTGGATAACGATTTATTACATAAAAATATAAATTTTATAAAAATAAAACGCTTCAAACGTTTACTTCTTCCGATTTTAAATAATTACGAAAGATAAACTAAAATCAAACATAATAAAAATGACATTAAAAAGCAAAAATTCAATAATACAAATCACTAGTTTGATGTTAAATCATCAAAATAGTGATGTTTGCTTTTATAAATATTAATATTACATTAATATTGACATGTATAGATATATTTAATAATTAAGATTTACATTTATAAGTACAAGCTAAATAAATAAATGCAAAAAAGAAAAATATTAAATAAAAGTTAGATTCCTTCAACTGCCTTTTAACATATACAACATTTTTCGTTATTTGATACTAACATAAGACAAATAAATGTGTCCCAAGGCTGTGCGACCGAATCACATATTCATTAGATAGAACGCCATATGGTACACATGCACCGCATGTTCGAATAGAATTATGTTGTATTTACACTTAACAAAGTACTTACAAATTTCAACTTTACGAAATAAGAACATTTTCATTGGTTCATCATGTGGAAATCAGATGTGCTCCTTACATTAGTACTATCTTTTAAATGAACTTACATATTATACTGAAATAAGTACATTCAGTTATCAACAAATTCAAAATATTTCAAAAAATAAACCAGCCAGCAGTTAATTTAATTCCCTCTATAAGCAATAAACAAGAAATATCTAACATATTTTTTTCAATATCAAAAATAAAATACTTAATACCTACTAGCTTTTTTTGACGTCGCATTAATAGGCCTACAATCTTACATTTCAATTGGCGAAGAACTGAAATACTTCAAAAATCAGATTATGGCGAAATGTATTTCACTCTTATATCACACATACGTAGCACTATGTACTAGTCAAGAATTATAATATGGACTTACTTCCACTACTACTCCAATTTATAAGAGTCTGAGAAGTTCCATCTTCTATATCTAATAACAGATGCTCTCTATCATTTTCGCTGTATTCTTTGTTTGAAAACACCACATCTTCATCATTAGTTTGCAAGTTAACATAAGAAAGTGACTTCTTCTTCTGTTCGAGGTCGAATATCTCCAAGTCTTCGTCTTCGTCATCATCAGACTCCATAGTGAGAGGTACGCGGGACAGTTCTAAATTGTCTCTCCGATCTTCAGACTGAAGGACACCGTAACGGAATTGATTGGCATCGTTTGAGTTGTGTGCGTTGCCCGTATCGTTATTCTTGCCTTTTCTCCTGGAAATTAGAGAACATAAGTGTTATATTAATATTGTAACAATAACGTGTAAAACCGAATTGCTGTAAACTGCTTGTCATAATCTACCTGGTCTACGGTACTTCATGTCTTAAACTCGACATATCATGGAACGCGAAAGTAAAACGTTATCATCTAGTCAAAATATGCTGTTTTTTGTTATTAATAAATATAATATCTATCTGTCCCTTTTGATCTAGTGGTTAGCAATCCTGACTTGTAGGTCGTAGTTTCGATTCCTACTCAGGACAAATATTGTGTGATAAGGAAATTTATTCGTTCTGTGTCGGGGTGTAATTTGTCTATAATATGTATGGATTTAGAAATATATGTGCCCCCGGTAATATATACATGAAATTTAAAATTAGTCGGCAAATTAGTCAGCCCACATGTTGCCGACTTAAATGCGCTTCAGTCTACATCTTCGGAGATAAACAGACACGAGTGCATAGTATGTTACGTTTTATTGCAATCTGCAATATACATAAAATAACCAAAATGAAAAGTTAAGTTAGTTATGTCAGGTTTAAGTTAACCGTTGGACGCAGGCAGCCGTTGGATGATGATGAACCAAAATGAACAGTTTGTATGCATTTTAGATTTATTGAATGAAATCAAACAATCTAATCTCGGGAAGGCCTTAAACCAGTACGTATAATTTTATCGAGTGCTCCCCAGTTCACAGTCAACATAATGACATCATTCATTACTTATCGTAATAGATTGCACTACATAGACCAATGTACGATTGTGTAATTTTAAAATGACGATACACGTCATTTTATTTACAATTTGTATGTTTCAAGATGTACGATAAGAAATGATTGGTATTGGTGCCATGTTCCGAATTTGGACTCAAAAAACGATCCTTTATGCGTATAGGTAAGATTGACTAGGTGATCTAACCAAGCTGCTTAGCGAAGCATAGAACTCTCCTGGGGCGTTCACAGGCTTCTAAGACTGATTTTGTAACAAAATAACTAGATAGTCGCAAAAATCTGGTAGTTCAAACTCGCAAATTTCACGGCTTTCCTTCCCAATTGTTCCTATAGAAACAGTATAACCCAAAAAGTAAATTTCTGAGAAGCCCGGCGAACCTTGACTATTTCTTGAATAACAGACAACTAGACGATAGAGCGCGAGGGGCCTTGAACAACTCCGTTTTCGAGAGGTGCGTGGGCAACAAATCACGCCTATCAAAATGGCGTGGCTGGGCTAGCTTCTGCATAGAATAATTAAATATTACACACATCACAAGAATACTTATGTTTTTTGGCGACCTGTGCTTTATCTAAATTCGTTAAAGTGAGCTTCAGAAACAATGAGAAATTTCCTGAAAGAAATACTCTAATTTTAAAATTATATGAATTGGATAATTTGCTCTTTGACCAACGTTGTTTTGGCAAAGGTGATTTTATATTGCGTAAAATAAGTTTAAAGAACATTTAAACACCAATTTAACAGAGTAGGTACGTATTGACAAAAGCGTTTTGTATAAAATAGACCGGAACTACCTTATCTAAAGAATATTTATCCTGTTATTCGTTATGGTATGCATTTTGCTAGAAACCTTAATTTTATTATGTTTTATTTATTGTGGTGCTGTATATTTGCTGCGTCGCCAGCGGTTTGGATCGAATTTTAATTGTTTCTCTTTGGATGAATGTTTTTTTTTCTAGTGTTTGATTCAAGAAATCCCTAAATGCACACGTTGAAAAAGATAATTACTGTTTGTATTCGTCACTAAAAACGGTAATTTTCTATAAACATTGACATGTCTAGAAGCAGGTATTTCTGTGGTCTGGTCAATCAGGCTTAGGGGGAACCGGCCAGGGGTAACGGGTTGTCCTCCGTTAGCTTCTGCTGGGATAACGGGCAAATTCAGCAGGCCCGATACGGTGACTTTTTAAAAAGGAAGGGGGAAGGCCCTAAGCACGCAATTCTGCAGGTTTAATGATGGATTTTCTTCCTAGAATATTACCCGAGTCCCTTGCATTAGGCTCCCATGTGATGGAACACCGTATGATTTTAGTCTAGCCTTAGTGAAGTGATGTGATGTCTAGTGATGAAAAATGGTAGGTATGAATACACACGAACGCTTCAACACTTTCTAAATATTATTTTGGAACCATATTACTTATCTTATCAATAAATGGAATAGTCCTGGTGTACTCGTAATGATAACAATGACGGCTAAATAGATTTTCTTACTATGAAATTATTAATGAACGTTACTTGTTACATGCATCGATATAAACGACTTGATATTATCATTATATGTTCAATATCTTTACAAACTACCTCAATAGTATTAGAATTTTGGCAAAAAGTACTCATTGATTTGAAATTATACAAGATATTTAAAATTCGTTAAAACATTGCGGCTTTGAACTGTTTTCTAACTGTGTTTTGGATTATTTCTTTTACCGGTTTTATACTTAAAATATTGTTAAGCCCATAGTTAATAAAGCGATAACAATATACTGTAATTGTTTTCCACATGTGCTTTATTTAAAAAGTTAGGTCAATAAATCTACAAAACCTGTAGGGGCAGTATATATGTAAAAGGGATTTATTTTCCAGATTACAACTACTGGTACCTTAAACGGTGTCCAGCTTTTAGTCAGTTCAAGTCCGACATAACCACCCTGAAGACTGGTGGAATGGATAAGAGGGAATTTCCAGACGATATAAAAAGGAATAATTTATATCCTAAGCTGTCATGTTACAAAAAGTCAAGTGACAGTTGAAGTTAATGATTTACAATCAAAATTCGACAACTGGGCTATCTCTATTAAGTATTATTATACAAACCTGTAAAAAATGAAGTATGCAACTGCCAGCAGTGCAAATCCTCCAAAAACTATAAATCCTCTCTTTATCACACCTGGATTATTGAAATCCAGCTGTTTTGGCTTCTCTGTGGCAGCGGTTCCTTTTATTTCAGTGGTATTTACCACTGGAGGGACTGTTGTAACATTCACATTCCCTGAAACTACATAATACAAATATATTATTATACATATGAGACTAAAAAAATGTGGTTTACAAATTCAATTACACTGCTACAATATTCACTGGTGGTCAAGATTTTTGATTTACAAATTACTCAATTGCAAGTTTAATCTATTTAAGATTCTGGGGCACAATTTACTTTGCCAGACAGGGTCGGGTATCATGGGTGTGTTGGAAACCCTGTATATATATTGCCAAGAGAACTAGTCTCTTTTAAAAACCCATACTTTTTTTTATGTGAAGTTTCATTTTCTTCAAAAACTGGACTGAAGGCTTTCAACCTCAACTCAAGGTATATACTATACGGAATAGTGCTATGGTGAAATGAATAATCTGACAGTGTTACTGAGTACAATAAACTATTGTATATGCATTCACACAAATACAGAGTAGAATGAGGGCGAGCCAAATTCTTATGATTCACTGATCCAAACAAACTGAAATAGTTTATTTAGCCTCATTCTGTCTTTTCAGTAAGTGTACCATGTGGATAACAAGTATTATCCATGTGATAAGTCCTGACAAAAACTGTAGTAACCTTAATTTAATTATAACTAACTGCCTATCTATCTATCTATAACAGGTTCCCATCATCATTGACAACATTTGAATCATATTTAACACATACTCATATTACTAATATCAATAATATAACACATTTATTCCTTGAATTTAACCATTACTGTGAAGAGAAGGAAAACTTGACACAAACCCTATACAAAAATGTATGTACCTGTCTTGCCAGTGTGGTATAGTAATAACTTCATGCATCTCACATACAGCCGTCTGATCCCAAACTAGGCAGAGCCTGTGTTGTGGTAAACAGACTGCTGATAAACATACTTAGTTATTTCTAAATACGCACATAATATAGATTAATTACACTCAGACACAGAACAAATCATCTTGCTTATCATCATCACTTTTACTTAAGAATGCTTGTTTTGTGGGTGGGGGACACTTGACTATAGTTTTCTTGTTACCCTTCCAGCTAAGCTATAGTATAGGCGGCCAGCATTGCAGATATTGCAATATGTATGTATGTGCAATAAATAAATATCAACATTATAAAAAATTATTTAAGGAAAATTACATAAAAAAAAATTGTAATGACAGAACACAACATTTTGGAGATTTTAATCTTTACACGGTAATTTGAGTTCTCAGCAGTAATACAATGGATCTAACAAGAAAGTATTGTAAGAAGAAGGAAGAAAATACTAACATTTAATAAAATGTTTGTAGATTTTGTTACACTCATTGGTATTTATAACAAAGAATACAGTTAACCAATAAGGAAACGTTAGCCATTATCAGAAAATAAAATAAAAGCAACAAAAATTTACTTTCATTGTGTAATTTTCATAATACAGCAAAAATTTACTTCTTGGCACTGAGATATTATTCACTTAAACATAGTTTAAAACAACTATAAACAGATGAACCTATATGACATTCTAATGTGAGAAGGAAGCTGATGAAAAACATAGACATAAATGGGTTATTTGTATGACACTTCTAGTAAACAATATGAATTAGAAACTGAGATAAATTATTTGTTTTTCTTTACTATTATTATTATGTAAACACAGCCATTTTTATTTACATGACACAATCAACACATTAAGTGCGAAAGTATATTATCTAATACATCTAAACTAAATCTTTTAATTACATAAAATTGAAAAAGGTTATGACAAGTGATGCAATATGGACCAAATTGTGTAAATACCTGTGGTGTTTGAATTAACAACTGGTATATCTTCAGAGTGCTCAGGCTTTTTCTCTCCCGCAGCGAGGAGAGACGCCGGTGTCGACAAGAGTGGCTTATCACCACCTTCGTTAACTATAACCGGCTGTTCCGGTGCCACCTGCTCTGCCTCACGTTTCATTTTCACCAAACTCGCAGCATTATGAACAGATGGCCACCATGAAAATCTTTTATTAAACTCAGCTACACGATCTTTTAATAAACCAGTAGGATAAACAATCTCTGTCGTCCGCACACAGTTCAAAAACAACAACAAAAGACCACAATGTACCAGCATGTTCATTGGTTGCTATCCTATTTACTGAAATTACTATTTAAAAAATTGAACTCTCATCATTTAAAGTCGAAGAAGTTTTCGACACTTCATATAGGGATACGCATTAAATTCATGGAATAAACTGAACTGTCAAATAAATGAGTAATGTTAGTGTCATGTCAGTATGACTTATTAACTCTATAAAGTGTCAAATATGTCAGTACGTGTCATGTCATGTACTAGAGATGTACGGTCTGGAAATTTTTCAAACGAGTTAAATCAGTTTGACAATTCGAGTGAATCGATTCCAAACCGAACCGTTGAAATTGCAGTAAACCGTATGATGAGTTGACCGTATGAGTTGACCAGCTAATGTAACATACGAAAGCAATATGCAACATGATTCGACGGAATCAATTAAACCGTCGTTTTATGTTTTGCCGACGTTTTGCAACCGTGTGCATACATACAAGTGTAAAACTTGACATTACATACACTAACCGACGACCGACGCAGCGACGGTTTAAATTGATTGGTAGTTTGTTGAGAGCTGAGGGCAACGCAACAAAGGGTTAGTTTGTCAAGTAACAAGATAACCGTGCTTACTTTTTTTCTCAATTGATGGATATAAGGAAAACATGTCCGTTAGATCCGATCGTTTAGTAAAACCGTATCCGATTTTATAAGAACCTAATAATATAGTTTGTGCTTGTAAGTAAATTGATAAAGATTTAGTATCATGTCGCGTCGAATTGGTTCAGAATCAGTTGGTAGATAAATCGTTTATAATAGTTTAATCGTTAAGTTTATCGAGAATAGTTTTGTTCGGTTTGTAACGCAGAAGCCGCGAGTGCGAGAACCGGCTCAACCAATTTAAACCACGGGCAAACCGATTCAACTGGGTTCATGCTTAAATATAGTGTTAAAGTTAATTTTCTATTTTTTAAGAATTGAATTATGTTACTAAATACACAAACATTAGCAGAAAAATACTTTCTCCATTGGCATTACTATTACTAGGACCAATCAGGATGGACTTGAGATCGATATCATCAGCATCAGCCTATCGCAATCAACTGCTAAACATAGGCCTCTCCCATTGCACGACGCTTAGATCGATTTTGGGCTTCTCTTTTACTGTTTTGATATATCGAAACAACACATCTCTAATTGCAATTTAATTAAGATACAATATTAATTACATTGTTTCTAATTCTGTTGTAACTTTAGTCCTATCAAATACGGTTTTATATTCTGAAAATGTAGGACTAAGCTTATTTAGTTTGGCACAACTAAAATTATTTAAACTGTAAGTTATTTTTTTGTAAATGTAGCTTAGGTAGGCTCTTCAGAAAACATTTAAAAATAAATGCAAAAGTAATTTTTTATCTACATATAAAACTTAATCTAAATGACTAAAACCGTCTCCGAGATACGCAAATAAATGTAATTGCTCGTGTAAATAATTATAAGATTATTGCTGATGTTTATTCAATTAGAACGTTTATCCACTTTGTTGTATTTTATGTTGCCATATTGTAATGTTGATGATCATGTACTTGAATCATAATATTAGGAAAACAATAGCAGCACTGCACAATATATAAAATGATATGTTTTTGTTCTCAGGTTGTTAACCTGAAGGCGCTCAGCTTCTCACTCCTCCTCCAAAGCATCGATTAAGATTTGGTTTCTTTTGAACGTACTTGTCATAAACCCGTACACATTCGGTGTTTGTTGATCTCTCTGTGAGGCGCGGCTTTTTTGAATAATTTAATGTATTAATAAAGTTTTCAGTGGATTTGAAGAATGTCAATGATAAAGAAAGTAATTTGTTTAACCATTGTTATTAAATATTTCAGAACTTTTCTAATTGACATTTAACATTGTCAATTAACAGAATTGATCTAATATATATAATTAAATTTTCCCACTAACCACTTGGGTTCCTTGGCAGAAAATTGTTGTGCTTTTTTTTGTGTCAATGCAGTAAGACCTCTCGTCGGTGAGTTAACTATGGCCGACTTGAGAATTTATGAGAGTTTTTGAACAAACACAAGAATTTTGTTACGGGTTATAATAAATCTTGACATGTGCGAGAATTTTCTAGCAGAATGTGGAAGAAATTGCCCTAGCCTTAACCTCTCATGGTAGTGGTGAAGTCAAGGATCGGAAAGGATGGTGCAAAGAATGAAAAGCCATTGTTGTTATGAATGAAATTGTGAATAAATGCCAATACTTTGCATTGATATCACATAGCATAGAATTTTAACCTGATTTTATATAGTCAAAGAACTTTTTTTTTTTTTTTTTTTTTCTTAAAAAGACAACTCCCGCATTAGGAATAAATCCTGTGTCGCGGGGGACTTTACAAACATACATGAAACGGACACAAAGAACACCCAGACTCAGAACAACAATTTGTGGATTACACAAAGTGTCGTCCCATGTGGGGTTTGAACCCACAACACTCGGCGTAGTAGGAAGCGGCGTGGTGACCGCTTAAACCGCTACGCCATCCGTGCAGTCAACATTCCTAATCGTCATCAAATCAGCCCACATACGTTGCACTGCCGGGTTCGGGAATCCTTAAGTGATGGCGAGAATTTAGCCTATTGTACCATACTAGCCAGATGGGATGCTATAGGGTTTTAAGAGAGTATTCCTTCTCTCGCAGTGATATCATGTCTGTAACTTCACCATTAGTTCACTTTTATGATTATGTTACCCTTAACATTATTAATTTCAATATTAAATATAATTTACTAATAATTAAATATAAAACCGTTTTCTACAGAAATCTTAAATTTTTTTTTTTATTGAATATGTATGGATATGTACAAATTAGATGAACGCTTTTGGATTCGTTCAATTCTTAGGCTACCTATGTGTAGCATAGTGAGGACGCCAAGCTACGACACAATAGCTAGAGTTAGAGAGGCTAGAGGCTAGAGGCTATAATACAGTACAATTTTAGTTTGAGGAGAGCTGAATGATTTGATATTTTTAATAAGAAAACCGTTCTGGGTTTTGACGCCTTCTTTACAACATTATCTACATGGGGAATAAAAGTTAGTTTGGAGTCAAGTATTAAACCTAAATCTGTGATAGTGTCTACGTGGCCAAGTGGTATGCTGTTTATATTATAACTATAGTGTAATTTATTCAGCTTACAGGTAAAAGTTATTTGAAAACATTTAGTTGCATATTACTATACGGAGTAGAATAGAGGAAGCATTTCGGGAGGAGGTTAAAAATATTGACTAGTATCCTAGGTCCCAAATGCGATTCCTATGGAACGCCTGAGGTAATTTTGAATATATTGAACTTACCTATAACCATCAGCTACAATGAAGAAAGTTCGATTTACTAGGTATGAATTAAGCCAATAAAGCAATGATCTAGCAAACCATATGATGACAACCTTTGAATTAAGATATGGTGAGACACCTTGTCAAAGGCTTTGCTGAAATCAGTGTATACCGCCTCCACTTCTTTATTAGCATCCACTGACTCAATAGTATTCTCAACAAATCAACCAAATTATATCATGCGGATCTATCAATAGTAAATCTGAGTTTTGGCTTGACAAATACTTTCTAAAATAATTTTGAATAAAGGGACATATCAGTGCTTCAAAGGTTTTCGCTAACGTTGGAAGAATCGATATTGGTATATAACTGCTAACTATAAAAACTCCTACTTCAGGTTTTAGAATAGGAACGACTTTCGCAAGTTTCCATTTTTCAGGAAAGATGCAGGTCTTAGGGACCGATAAAAAATTTAGCTCATAGGGATTGCTAACTCATGAACATACTCCCTTATAAAACTTGGCGGTATATTGTCAGATCCTAGCCCCTTTGATACATCGAGATTTTAAAGAAACTCGACTATTGCTTCTCTGTCAATACTTAAATTGGTAAATGAGTCAGAGTGATTTGATGCCATAGCTTGCAGCAAAAGGACAGGGAAGACAAGCCTTAATATTGGGTTTATTTAAAAAGTAATTAAAACACATTTAAAATAGTGCATGGACTATGATGTAGTTAGATAGTTTTTTTTCTTTCATTGAATAAAACCAGCAATCACGTATAAGTATTATTTAATTTATTCAAATAGACATTTACATATCATATATTTAAAGTAGAATTTCCAAAATTTTTTTTTTGGTATCTATATAACACTGATTGAGTATCCACATAGGTATGATAATAATGTTTTAACCTAGAGTTAAACATCGGTACATATTGTTCCAAACATCAAGGTACACATTAAATATCACCTACAAAATTGAACAAGTTAGAAATAGTATAGATTTATCAAATGACTTACTAACAATTATCTATTGTTTAAAAGTATCGGCAGTGATAAAACAAGCCAAACTCGCCAAACTCGCATTTTGGTGTTAAGAACAATAACGTTCTTAAACATTATTGCTAAGCCATTAAGTAGGTAGGTATCTCAAAAATCAATACGATTTAGCTCTCGAAATTTCTCCTTTTTTTTGATCATGGTTGCATTAATAAATTACTAAGTAGTAAATTACTAAGTGTAAATATTACAATATTTAAATCATAAAAACTACAGTCACTCAAAATCTCACATAGTAAGCACACGTTACTCTCACATTCTATAGCAATAAGTTATAAATCTTAACCTTACAAGTTAATTTACAAAATTAATAAATATAAATAATTAAGTATGAACTATTTTATACAAAATCCATAACATAGAAAATGATATCACGCGATAATCACGCCAGATCATTGCATCACACGAATAGACAGGTATGTAAATTAGTCATCCTATAAAAATAGATTGCACAAAAACCATTACGAAAATATTTACTGGAAACAATTTTAACGTATCTTACGTTATTTTCACGTTTTAACGTTGTGAAATTTACTCTTTAACATCGCAAAATTGAAATGGATAACATTTCCTTCGAACATTTATTAATGTTGCCAGTAATAGTTCCTTAGAATCTACTTCTATGTCACCACATCTCTGAAAACGCTAAATTTAGCGATAAAATATATTTGTTAGTGATAAAAATGTGGCTATTTATGGCCCCACATCAAGAACCGCCCCAAACTCAAATACCCAAATGATCCGTACAAAGCATCCTGATGGCCTAAGCGGCAGATGTCTACTGTCTCTAAAATAAGTACATATTGGTATACATAAATATTTTCGACATTTCAACTACCCTTTAACGATACCACATAATATTAAACTTTCATTATAATCCTACTTGCTTATCTCATGTTGGCTAATAAATCTTCTGAAACTTTAATATAATAATTAATTTTACTTTTAATTTATCTTCTATATAGTTACGATTTTAAATACCACAAAATGACTCCCATTTTTTTGAAATGTAAAATTCATCGATAACACGTTTCAATCATCAACAACAAAGGATATTCGCTTCTGAGAAAGAGATTTACTTTAAAACATTAAAGTTTTTTTAAGAAATTTAAAATATTGTCGAATTTTAATCAAGCCTTAACCCTAAACCATGGCACACAAATTATTTCTAACAAAGGAGGGAACTTTTCACAACTGGGAATTTATTTATTATCGTGTTTCGATCAAATCATGGCAAAACTTTCATTCAAATTTTATTTACTTCCGAGTATAGAATTCCGAAATCTGAGCAATCTGTTTACGTATCTATAAAAGAAATGAGCTGAAAATATGTATGTTTGGTCGCTTTAAAGTCTCCACAGTCAGTCTTTCAAGAAACCTAATTTTTATTGAAACTGTAATAATAGAATGGAATGTGAAAGATAAATGAAGTATGTAAGAATAGTAGCAAAATATAACCAACACAATAATTAACAGTGAGACGTAGGGTAGATCCTGTTGCGAAATATCGTGTCAACTACAATACGTTCCGGGAGAGCAATTACTTATTCATTTCTACATTGTAAAATGCAATGTTACCATCCTAAATTCGTTACACCTATACTAACACTTGTAATAGCGACATGATTTTGAAACTAGCAGCAATTTATATCGTTCTACCTAAAATTGCTATCCCGGAGAAGGACGAAATCTATACCCATCCTAATGGTGTAGGATGCATTTATGATGATTGGACTTCGGCCTCCGATATCGCACGAAGTGCTCACTCCAGGCGCGCTTTGTAACTGGTCTTCCATATTTCAGCCAGAGTGACAGCTGAGTGGAAACGGTGGAAAATACAAAGGGGTAGAGTGAAACGTTGAACAAGTGACCAAGCTACGAAACCGTAGAAATCCAGTTGTACCTGAAAAGACAAATGTATTAGAGATAAAACTCCGACAGTTATAGTAAAAAATATATAATTAAAATAGTAAAATTATCTATTTGGTACTTACAGGATTGGCCAGGACTTTTTGGGCCTCGAAAGTGTAAATGAGCCACATGGTAACATTGCAAATAAGAAGGAAGGTGACGGCTTGACGGGCGGGCTTGCTGCGTTCCTGTTCTGGCAAATGGACTCGACGACGGGATACATCAGCGATGAATAGTAATTGAAGGACTACCTGTAATTTGTGAATTTACATAGTAATGAATGATCTGTACTATCTGATTATTTTGTCTAATATAGAATATAACTGATTTACTCAAAGACATTTATTTACCTGAAGCACACTCAAACAGCCGGTAATCATGACCAGAAGATTTGGTTCGTGTGTAAAGGCGCCCATTCCACCAGCGATGACGCTGAACACAGCATACACGAACAGACCGAACGCCGACACACGCAGCAGAATGTCGTTCAAGTCAGATTGTTCTTCAGAGCGGAACTTCAAAGATTGCACCCTGCGAAGAGGCTCGGTACAGGAGGAAGGAGTATTGCTCCATTTCATTACACGACCACTAATTAGACGTTGAATGAAACCAAAAATGGTAAATAAAAAGAAAACAAATAAGAAAAAAATTGGATAAGTAGAAAAGAGGAATTGTACACATTGACATTATTTTGGTGCACAAGTAGGTTAGCACATTTGTAGTGCGGTACAAATAAATTGGAGCAGTGTATAAAAGGAAAAAAATAAAGGAACAGGGCGTGAGAAGAAAAGGATAGGAGAGAACAAAAATAAAGAAATTAACATTCATAAAAACAAAAATTATCACAACTAAAATTCTAGTTAACGAATTTCTAATGTGTTTCTAATAAATATAAATCTTACCGAATAAATCCAATTAGAATCGCCAGAATGGAGAGAACCATCAGAGCGCAGTGAGATACATCTGCCAAATAGATCGACAAGCGCTTCAACTCGTGGTGTCTTATCAGAACGAAGAAAAGTATCAGGCAAATCAGTGACGCCACCAACAGTAGAAGGCCACAGAAGAGTCCCTTTGAAGCTCCAGCGCAATCTACTCGATTTCCACGTTGTGCCGCTGCTAGCGCTGCTGCCCTGCGGGAGAGAACAGCTTCCAGACGTCTTTCCAGATCTTCATCGTTGGCCACGCTGCAACGAAACGCGTGCCTTGTCAGTCAATTACGAGTTACTAACTCATTTTAAACTAGACTTTCTCTTAGTGTAATTAATTCAGAACTAGGTAAGTACTATGAAATAAAATTTTAGTAGCTATATTAGATATTAATGGAGAATATTTAGTTCCATCAGATTTGCAAATTAGTGATGTTACAACTAAGTTAAAATTGCAGTCTAAATTCGCGGGCATAACAAAAAATAATTTATTATAGTTACCTGGGATAACGACCAATATGTTTCCACATCACATAAATGACAGCGGCGCCGATGAGTGAGTACTCAATGATGAACGGATATAAATAGGGCGCCGAGTCAGTAACGATAGTACCCATAATTGGGTTCCGGCCGCACACCGTCGTGTTATCGATATTAGCGATCAGTGCAGCTGGGCTGATGGCATCATACGACTCAAAGACTTCTGATGAATTAGGCACTGAAATCAAGGTCGGTGTTAAGTATTGCTTTATAGGTGTTTTCGTATTAAGTACCATAACTCTCTCATCTACGAACCACTCTATTACTATCAACTTTACAAAATATGTACATGCAGAAGACGGAAAAGAATTTTTTGGATAAATGTAAAATATAACGTGAGAGCGCATGTGCACCTAAACGTGGGAGGTCTAATGAACACAAAAAATATATTTTTACAACTTGCAAATAAAAAGTGCAACGGCGATTAACGTTTGAAATAAAGAATCAGTATGGCACTCCAACGACAAACCTGGCGAGTGTGGTGGCTCATCTACGCGATAAATTTCAACACTATTTCCCCATTCATCTCTATCAGTTACCATGCGTCCAGTGGTCGTGCTTGGCATCATAGTCGAAATAGTGTCAATGATCGGTTTCAGAGTAGAAGTATGCAGCCACTGAAATACTTCTAGCATGGCAGTCTGTGTTTGAGTCACTTTATGGGACTCCGTTGCTAGTGGTGCAAAAGAGGTAGTAGTGAAAGGATTATCGTTTGGCCACTCTCTGTACTCCCGACCATATTCCATACCGTTCTCATAACCTATTGTGCTCTTAATCGTGTCGATCAATTTTGATTTAGGAATAAACCCGCCACCCATATTATGATATGATGAGATAGTAGTAGTAGCTGAAAAATTAGTCCGAAACAAATTTTAATAGATATACATGCACATGTTTTAAAATCAGGAAAACATTTAAACATGTGAACGTTAAATACGTGAATACTAACTTGTGCCGGGAGTGGTGATAGGAGCAGCGGTGGACGTGGAGCTGACAACGTTCATTAGTTGCTCTCCAGCAGTTTTAGCGGTGGTTAAAACAGTAGATGCGATACTTGTAGCGGCAGTGGAAGCAGCACCGAACACTTTTCCTGAATGCCTCAGAGTATGCTTACGGATGACTTCTGAAGATTTACATTAGGGCAATGCATACTTATATTTAAATGTAAATATTAATAATAAAAAATTAGTTTTAGCTTAATCATTCAAAATGAAAGAATTTACTTACAGATTTTGGTAAAAATTGTTACTTACTTCCAAGTACGCCTTCTTCAGAAATACCCTGGGGATTCTTAACGTGATAGTCGGTGATTTCTTTTAACGATTCTAGTACCAAAGTACGAATCCAAACACAAATGTTCGTTGCAACTACATGCATTAATCCAAACCGGGCTATTACTTTAAATCGATGTATGTTCAACTAAAATATATAATAAAATTAAAACCAACAAAACCAAACATTTAAAATCTTTATAACGAGTGTGGAAATTTAATTAAAACCTTACCCGTGAATTCATAAATATGAAGTACATTTGCATAAAGGTAAAGACCATTTGCAGTACAGGGTTAACTCCTTTTAGGATGAGGTAGCACGGGGAGTCCAAAGGTAATTCAAAGAAAGTACCAAATTCCAAACCGTTGTAAATCATAGTGCCCAGCCCAAAAGCTAAAAATAAATAAATAATTTTCATAAAGATCTTCATTTATGATTCATCTTACACGCTTGTGATGATATTAATATAATGTCTTACCAATAGCACCGATCCTAAGGAAGAAACTGCCATGACTGTGGTCGTTTTGAGAAGTCTTGCGCCTACGCGCGGGCCTGGCTACGGGTCCTGCTTCTAGTTCCTCAATGTCTTGTGTTTGTAGTTGTTGTTGCTGCTGTAAACATAAGTAAAAAATATAAATTAATATCAATCGTAGTAACAGATTATTTCCTTAGACTGAAAAGAAAAACTGATGCATCTACATAATACACGAATTTATACTCTTGGACAGGTTTTCTTATTGATCAGAAAAAGGGTGGCAAATGCGACTGGTTTACAATGGAAATACAAGAATTAGTATATGAACGAAATCGAAATTATTGTTATAATTTACTCAGGAAACATCAATGCAATTTTAGTACTTTAAAATCAATATGAAAAATGTACATTTGTGATTATACGAAGGCTACGACCGAAGCAAGGTAATACCATAGCGAATATAGAAGCGGTATAAACAAACGAACTACAACAGCACATCCAAAGCTCTCTGCAATGATAAATGATTTACGTCAAGCAGGTTGCGTCAAGATGTACCTCACCTGGTCGGACGCATACAATTGCGCCATTTGCAATTGTAATTGCTGTTGACGAACTTTATCACGCATCTTACGGGGATACACCTCCTGCCCAAATGATATGGAAAAAACAAAAAAGTAGGCAGCGTAAACAAAAAGGGGGTCATGCGGCCTGATGTGAATTAAGCATTGACGATGAGAAAAGTGACCTGTCAAATAAAATTGCGCGAACGAGTGCGTATCACAAAAAAAGTTAAATTAAACAAATCATGATAGAAATTAATCAAATAAATGTGGTTATCTAACACAGAACGATACGCCAAAGCGACAAGATAGAGTGTGTAATAAAAAGGTTAAACACAAATATGGATGTGCTGTGTATAATTATGATATTGATGTATATACCACTCACCTGAAAGCTTTGTTTCTTGGATTCTTTACAGGGCTTTTCTTTTTCGGCATCCTTGTCTTTGCCTTTTTCTTTAGACTTTCCTTCTTTCTTATCTTTCTTGCCATCTTTCCCATCTTTGCCTTCTTTAGATTCTTTGTCTTTGGTTTTCTTTTCTTTTTCTTTCTTAGGCTTCTTAGCTTTTGGAGGAGGTTTGGGTTTAGGAGGACTGCCACTGCAGCATGCACTCTCTAAATAAATCCACTAACTTGTATAATATGTTAGAAAATGATCACAATACATATATTTATTTATGGTTAACTACACATACCTTGTAGTAAGAAGCAGAAGACGTATAACAAAAACAAAATGCTCATGCCATAAAGGTAAGTGAAGAAGCCCTCGTAGTAATAAAGGGGCAGATTGTGTGTGATAACATCACTGATGACGTAGGCTACACACACCACGACGAGAAGCTTGGCGTAGATGAAACTCGAGATGATAAAGAGTGAGGTTCTGCGAATAAAATAAATCACATATTAGGTACCCACAAGTGTAGAGCACATATAGGACAACATTATCAAGCACTCAGGAATAACACTTCTAATAATTTGAGCATTTATCCATTAACAAATAATTACTTATACTTAAGCTTGTTTGTTACCCTTGAGAATCTACTTGTAGCCGAATTTGCGCATATTACTATAGTATGCATCTATTTCATATGTTAGAACTTGATACGGATATGAATTTAAATTCTATTTGTTCAAAATGAAATACACACTATAGGAATGGGTGTATATCGGCACAAAGACATATCATTTAGTATGTATTTTTTTTTGTATAAATCTAATTATGCGATAGAACAATAGGTACAAGAAGCGGAGTATAAGTATTAAAGTACACAAAAAGTATAGAAAATATCACAACTACTGTCATCATGTAAAACAAAGAACCATTTTCAACAAACACACTTTTTAGATGGCTTTGGTTGTACACATTTCAACTCCATTTCTTTGTTAGCATTGTTATGTTTCTCCGCGATAGCAATATCACTCCCCTGCTGCCGGTGCTGGCCGACCGGCAGGGTCGCCATATTATCCACCGCCTCTAGATCCACTGTCGCCACCTTCACTTCAGCCTCAGCGGGCTGATGCTTGTCTTTCCCCATCACTTATAACTCAAACCGGTAAAGGGAATTACAAAGTGCCCATAATGGAGTGCTCCAGGGTTAAGGACAGGCAAGGGACCGAGGAGTACTTTCAAAGATTGCCGGAAGTATGGCGGTGTGGCGTCGACTAGTGCTTCTGGCTCGAGTGTGTCGAGAGTTGCGCAGTAATGGATGCTGCGCGCAACTTGTACTCCCAAAATAGGGGCGGCACCGACCCTCCGTATACAACCCCATTTTGAGTAAATTGCACTGTTTAATAGCAGAGGGGGTTTTATATTGCTTATGGAAGTGATGAGATAAAATTCCAAGCCGAATGAAATTTTAATATTTGATTTTGTGTGATTCAATGCACTGATTGCTTGTATTTTATGAAAAGAAAAGAAAAACAAATTTGGACAGACTTTTTCGACTCTTAAGGTTTTTAAGCCAAGCTTAAAACATTATACTTAATTATAAAATATCGTTATAATATTTCTAAGTTTAATATTGATTAATATTGTTTAACAGAACGAGATTAACTTGATAGTTCTTAAAGTGTTAGCTATTAAACTTAATTTTTTTAAGGTTAAATTAAGTTTTCTTAATAGGTTTATTTCTATATCCACATAATATAATATATAGGATACCGATAATATGAAAATGGCACATGTATATTTCAATAATAAGATAAGGATAAGTTTATTGGCAAAAATACTTTTAGATTCTTCTCAAAATATAATAAATAAATATTTAAAATAAAATTCATTATTAAACAATATTGCAGGCGATTTGTTATTCTGTAAATATATAAGTTAGAATTATTACGTTCGACAACCCTAGTAGTGGCGGCACGCGGTCGATAGAGGCGCGTCTCTCCCGGAATGCTTTGGGAGGCTGCGCGAGCGACCCACTGACCTGGCCCTTGTCCCCAACCACCGAACACACCCCGGTACTACGCACTACCCATCAAACTCAATGCACATGCACGGATACTATACATTTAAATGGGTAGACAAAGAAATGTCACGGAACAAGGCCATGGATGTTGAAAGGAATAACATAAAATTATTTTCAGTTTATACATGACTTTCTTAATTGTAAACAGACGTAAATCAAACCAAACAGTCGAAGGAGGGAGGCAACAGTTTACAGATATCTACCTAATCTTTAAAAATTAAAGATTTATTGTCTATAACTTCGGTTCGAACTAAAATGTCGGTTATAAAAATGACGAGAAAAATTTATTACCCATCCTCCCATGAGGATGTCATAAATAGATCTAATTTTGATTTATTATTGTATACAGCAACTACTTAATTGTTAAATATTCTAATTATTCTTATTTATTGAAATTTGATTTTAGTATGTAAGCGAATTGTGTTGTGATTTCTCCTTTTGCATTATTTATTTCGCCTCTTTAGGCGATGTTTTCTCAAGGACAAACAATTGGTGGCTATTTCTGACTATTTTTTTTTTTTGGTAAGATTTTTAGGAAGAGACGAACGACTTCAGGAAGACACGAATAAAATTATACTTAGTTTAAATTCTAAAAAGAGGCTTGTTTGAATATAATTTACTTTCAATCTTCAATTTTACTACCTACCGTTACTATACAATATCTGCTAGCGATCATCAACTCTTGTTCTCAGGACCCTCTCTTATAGACTACGGAAGTGTAAGCTAAAGTTTAAAGAATTATAAATGTATAATATTGAGTTGAAGGCGAAGTTAGCTATGCGCATGCTTGATCCAATGCTCTTTAGTTTCATGAGTTCATTGAACTAAATCAAGTGCCAAAACAGAACTATTTGTTTTTTTTTTTCAATGGGTACGTACTATGTGGGTTGAAATACTCGTAGTACGTTCGTGGTTATGATGTTAACGATACCGTACTACGAAATTTATAATACGTAATTTACGATTCATTTCTTATAAAAGTCTGTATAATATAGACTAGAAAGTTATCGTTAAATTCAAATAAATTCGATTTTCTCGGTAATGAAAAGTAAAGCTATTTTATCAGACATTAAACATGTGTGATAAAACGCTTTTATTCCTAAAATCCGTTTAAATACGCACGTTATATCTGAGGTTCCGTAGAATATTTTATGGCTTACATTAAGTAGGTAAATTTATACAATATTTGTTGTCACAAAACACAACAGACAAACACACAAAATTTAAATATATAAAATGCAATGTTTGTTATATAAAATATTGGGTCTCTATAATTACAAGTACACAGTAAAACATCAAAAAACTTTTTAAATGCTATGAATATGTTGGTGGATTATAGTTTCTTCCAATGTTTGTGTGGTTTTTTTTTATGTGAATTTTATTCCTATTATTAACAAAAGATTTTTTATAAAAAATATTGGCAATTTATAAAATAATGACCATACATACATATTTACTGTGCAGTAAAACAGTGAAGTCTTTTTTAGGGTTCCGTACCTCAAAACGTAAAAAAGAAACTGACTCACTTTCTTGTCCGTCTGTCGGTCTGTTCGTCTGTCCGTGTGTCACCAATTTTCTCAGAAACGGACCTAGCAAGTTGAAATTTATACCAAATACTGAAGTCTATGGTCCCTATTATGTGTATAAAAATCAAGGTCCTGAGTCAACACGATAAAAAGATATGGGCAAATTTTGATTTTCGCGAAAACTTGTAAGTACCAAAATTTACCTTAATTTTCAACTTTTTTTTTATTTTTCAGAATTTTCTCTTTACTTGTGCTGTAAGACCTTGCTTTTAACCAAAATTGTCAATTCTAGGTCAACCGGAAGTACCCTATAGGTTTTGGGTAGAAAACCTATATGGTAGTTCCCGTTGACCTAGAACCACGAAATTTGGCAAAAAAAATACGTCATACAGCACAAATATAGAAATAATTCCAAAAAAAAAAGTTGAAAATTAAGATAAATTTTGTTACTTACAAATTTTCGCGAAAATCTACGTATAATCTAGGTACGGAATCCTCGGCGCACGAGTTTGACCCGGTTTCTTTTATGTTAGAGTTGGCAGACGAGCAGACGGGTCACCCGATGGAAAGTAACTAAGTGAGTTTCCGGCGTTTTAGGAAGGAATACGCTCTTCTCTTGAAGGTCGTATCGGTCATTACACGGTACATACCGCAGACGATAAATTGTTCCACAGATTGGTTGTACGAGGCAAAAAGTGTTTCGAAAAGCGCACAGTAGTGGAGCACCACTTATCTAGGTGATGGGGGAGATGACTCGGGCAACCGAGCGCCGGGCACGCCGTTATCGCGGCGGTAAGACCCGTTATGGAGGATTGGCTCGAGAGGCGTCACGGGACCCTCTCATACCGACTGACGCAGGTGATCACTGGGAAAGGATGTTTCGGGGATCACCTGTGTCTGATCCGCAAGGAGCCAACGCCTGAGTGCCACTACTGCGATGGCCAGACCGTGGACACGGCTCTCCACACGCTGGCAGAGTGCCCGGCGTGGGTTGAGCAGAGGCGAGACCTCGTGGCGGCCATCGGAGTGAGATTTCTCTCGCTCGATAGCCTGATTGCGGCTATCGTGCGGAGCGAGAATGCATGGAACTCTGCCGTCTCCTTCTGCTAGCAAGTTATGCTCGCGAAGGAGACGGCGGAGCGGGACCGGGAGAGGTTTAGGACTCTCCCGGCCCGCCAGGCCCGGAAACGGGCCAGGTACCGCAGGCGACTCAGGCGCCGGAGGTCGCAGAACGACCTCCGTCCTCCATAAGCGCAGGCCTGGGGGTGACAGGTGAGGCCATCTGTCACCCTAGCAGAAGCAGGCCAGGGTGGCGGCGAGCGCGTTGCGAAGCGCGCTCGCCTCTAGGGAGCACAGGGAACATGGGGTTCCCACACGGGGGGGGGGTCGTCTACTCGTCTGTAGATGACCCGAGGTATGTCGGGGCACCAGGGACTTCCTTTCTAGGGTATACCTGGTTCCCCGGCTATTAGTACACGAGACGGCGTGCGGTTTTAGTCGGTTCGAGTCCGACATGCCACCGACAGGTGGTATCCGAGGGGATTTCCGCACGGAAAAAAAAAAAAAATGTGATGGGGGAGATGAAAAATTTTCTGTGTGGGACGATGGCGGAAAGTTACGGCCGGTATAAGGCCGAAGAATTTCTCGGAGCACTCCCCATGATATATACAATAGATAATGCAGAGTGAAGCTACATCTCTACGTAGCGCCAATAATTTACCATTTTTTAGAATAAAACCTGCCTAAGTCAAAACTATTAATTAAACAGAATTAAATTTAAATCAGAATATCAGCGATAAATCAATATCAATCTTAAACAGAATATCAGCGATAAAGTTTTAACGACATATTTTGGCCGATGGTTTTCCTTCCCAGTTGAAATA